ATATTTTTACTCTTTTAAACGTAGGCCAAAAACTGATGGTTAAGAAACAGTATCATGTTTTATTTCCTATTTCGCTTTGTCCACTGATAAGGTCAATGTCTTTTTTTGGTTTGTTTGTTTAAGTTTTATGGCCATTCGGATTTTCTCTTCTGTGAGTATCCTGTGCATAGCCTTTGCCCATTCTTATTTTGAGTTGTTTGTTTTCTTCTTTTCGATTTGTAGTTCTTTATATTTTAGAACTAGTAATCTTGTATTTGTAACTTTTTAAAAATAAACTTTTAATTTTAGAACCGTTTCAGATTTCAGAACAATTATGAAGATAGTCCAGAGAGTTGCTGTATTACCCTCACCCTCCCTGCCCCTAGTTTCCCCTATTATTAACATCTTAACATTACTTTGGCACGTTTGGTGTAATTAATAAACACATATAATACATTGTTATTAACTAAAGCTCATACTTTATTCAAGTATCTTTAGTCATTTTCCCTAATGTCCTTTTTCTGTTCTAGGATATCTTCCAGGATATCCATGACATTTAATCATCATGTGTCTTTAGACTCCTCTTTACTGTGAAAGCTTGTCAGAATTTCCTAGCTTTTGATAATCTTGTCACTTTTAAGAAGTGCTGTTCAGGTGTGTGTAGCCTGCCCCTCAGTTGGGATTTGCCCGTTTTTCTCATGAATAGACTGGAGTTGTGGATAGTTGGGAGGAGGAGCACAGAGGTAGAGTGACACTGATGTTGCATCACATCCAGGGTACATTCCACCAACATGAGTTATCATCGGAGGTGATCACCTTAATCACCTGGCTGAGGTTGTGTTTGTTGTGTTTCTTCATCATCAAGTTACTCTTCTCTGGCCACCTCCCTTTCTGTACTAACTGCACTCCAGAAAGAAGTAACTACATGCAGCCCAAACACGTAAGGAATGGGGAGTCATGCTGCATGTCTTCTGAGGGTGCAGTATGTAAGGTATTTATAATTCTTTTGCAAGATGTATTTCCCCCACTTATTTATTTATTCACACTCCATCGTTTTTTGTTTGTTTGTGTTTTTAGCAAGAGCACTTCCTTACTGGTTCTACAAGATGCTCCAGACTCATCTTGTATATTTCCTGTCCCCATCCTAGAATCAGCCTCTTTTTCAAGGGACCTTGGTACCTTTTACCAGACAACGATATTAGAAAAATCACATCTGGCCCATGTAAGCTGTTGCTATGGATTCAGCTGACAGGACAAGGAAATGTATGTGTTCATCTCTGTATAAATGAATACATTCTCTATATTTAACTATCTGTATCTATATTATATTAACATAAGTTCATAATGACATCTCCAACTCTAATCCATTACCACGGGGATCATTCTAGTCTCCTTCTGGTTTTTATTTGTAACCTCCAACTCCAGCAGTGAGAAACCTGGCTCCTCGCAATGACCATTCATTTTCTTAATGGTACCATTGTGTATAGTGGGATCAGAATTGTTAACCTATACTTATCCCCGGGGGGAAGACAACTTTTATAAGCAAGAGTTCAGATTTTTTTTTGTCTTTAGTCTTATAGATACTACTCATTTCCATTTTTTAAGTCAGCACCTTCTGCCTCTGTTCCTTTTGTGAGGCTGTTTCAGACATTTGTAATATAGTTAGGATGTTTTATCACATTCTGCATTCCTTCCTGAGATTACCTGACCTCCTAAATCATGTTTTTAAAATTTGTATACATTAAGGTTCACTCCTTGTGATATGCAAGGCTATGGATTTTGGCAAATTCGTAGTGTCATTTATCCACATTACAATGACATGCAGAATAGTTTCAATGCCCTGGTGCCTCACTTACTCAACTCTTTTTCTCCCTCCATAACCACTGATCTTTTTACTGTTTCACTGGTTTTGCATTTTCTGGAATGTGTTACAATTGGAATCAGAGTATGTAGCCTTTTCATACTGATTTTTTACTTAGCAATATATATTTAAGATTAACACATGTCTTTTCATAGTTGTCTAGATTATATCTTTTAAAATCACTGAATACATTTCCAATATATCATATTTTACTGATCCATTCACTTATTGGGAAATTCTTGGTTGCTTCCAGTTTTTGACAATTATGAATACAACTGTTACATTCATGTGCAGGTTTTTGTGTGGATATAAGTTTTCAGTTAGGTAAATAGCTAGGAGAGTTGTGCTGTACACCAGAAATTGACACAACATTATAAACTGACTATACTTCAATAAAAATATTTTTTTAAAAATACCTAGGAAAGCAATTATTGGATCATACGATAAAACTAGGTTTAGCCTTGTAAGAAGTTGCCAAAGTGTTTTCTAGAGTAGCTGTAATCACCAGCAAGAATGAGAGTTCCTGTTCCTTTGTATCCTAATCAGCAATTCGTATTTCCAGTCGGGGGATTTTTTTTTTAATGTATACAGCAGATTTATTTATAACTGTCCAAACATGGGAAGCACCTGAGATGTCAGTATGTAAAAAGATCCTATGTAGGGTACATCCAGGCAATGGAATGTTATTCAGCGAAAAAAGAAATGAGCTACAGAGCTGTGAGGAGACAAGCAGGGAAACGTAAATGCTTATTAGTAACTGAAAAAAGCTATCTGAAAATGTTGCACACTTTATTATTCCAACGATACATTCTAGAGAAGACAAAATTATGGACACAGTAAAAGGATCAGTGGGTTGCCAAGCGTTAAGGTGGAGAGCGGGCAGCACGCAGGTGTTTCTCATCGCGGAACTCTCGGAGCCGAGGTAGGAAAGCCTGAGATCCTGCGAGATCTGGCTTCCTCTAGGAAGCGTGGTGAAGGCAGCAGGGCTCCGGGTCTTGATTCCGCCATTTTTCGAGCTGCCGCGGATTGCTTAGCGCGGTTGTTTTTGTTTCGTTTTTTTTTTTTTTTTTTTGGGCATTTTAACCGTTCTAGTAGGTATGTGGAAGTATCTCATTTCTGTTTTAATTTGCAATTCCCTAATGACAAATGATATTGAGCGTCTTTTCATTTATTTGCTATCTTTGGTAAGACGTCTGGTCACATCTTTTGCCCATATTTTAGTTGGGCTGTTTGTTTTCCTATTGTTGGTTTTTAAGGGTTCTTTGTATATTTGGGATGTAAGTCCTTTATTAGTTATGTATTTTGCAAATATTTTCTCCCAGTCTGTAGCTTGTCTTTTCATTCTCAACTATCTTTGCAGAGCAGAGATTTAAATTTTAATAAAGTCCACCTTATCCGTTTCTTCCTTTATGAGTTGTACTTTTAGTGTCAGGAATAAAATTCATCCTTAAACACAGATATTTTCCTATGTCTTCTAGAAGTTTTATAGTTTTGAAATTTACATTTAGGTCTGTGATCTATTTTAAGTTAACTATTGTGAAAGCCGTAAGGCCGGCAACTCAGGTGTTTTTAATTTTTTTTTTTTTAACGTATGAACAGCTAGCTGTTACTGCATCGTTTGTTGGAAAGAATATCCTTTTAAAATTAAATTGTCTTTGCTCATTTATCAGAGATTTGATGGTTATATTTGTTATTTGTGTGGATGTATTTCTTCACTCTCTGTTCTGTCCATTGTCTATTATTTTGCCAGTACCACACTATCTTGATTACTGTAGCTTTGTATTAAAGCTTGAGATTGGGTAGTTTGGGTCCCAAATAACTTTGTTCTTTTTATTTAGTATTGTGTTGGCAATTCTAGGTCTTTTGCTTTTTCTTACGTACTTTTTTATCAGTTATTTATGTATATATAAATCTATTCTTTTTTTAGATTATTTTCGATTATAGGTTATTACAAGATATTGAATATAATTCTCTGTTCTATACAGTAGGCCTTTGTTGGTTATCTGCTATATATATATATATATATATATCCCAAACTCCTAATTTCTCTCTCCTCCTCCTTCCCCTTCGGTAACTGTAAATTTTCTGTCTGTGAGATTACTTCTGTTTTGTAAACAAGTTCATTTGTATCATTTTTTTTTTAGATTCTACATATAAGTGATATTATATGATATTTGTCTTTCTCTGACTTACTTCACTTAGTATGATAATCTCTAAGTCCATCGGAATCAGTTTTTCAATATCTGTGAAATAGCTTGCTTGGTGTTAGGAATTGCATTAAAGTCATAGACAAGTTGGGAAGAATTGACATCTTAACAATACTGGGTGTTTCAATATATGAACAGAGTATTTCTCCATTTACTTAGATTTAAAAAAAATTTCCTTCATCAGAGTTTTGTAGTTTTCCATGTATAGATTTTTTACATTTACATGACTTTTATTTTATATCTTGGTGCTATTATAAAATATATTGTTTTTTAAATCTCAAATTCCACCTGTCCACTACTGCTTCATAGGAAAGAAATGGATTTTTTGTGTATTAACCTGATAATCCTGTGACCTTGCCATGCTCGCTGATTAGTTCCAGGAGCTTTTTGTTGTTGCTGCTGTTGATTCCTTTGGACTTTCTACATAGTCAAATCATGTTACCTGCAAATACACAGCTTTTTTTTTATTGTTACTAAATTTCTATTTATGACAAAATCTTAAAGTCTGAAAATTATGTGTTCATCAATGGTAATTTCTATTTTAATAGATGACTTCAAACAAGATTAAAGTGAATTAAATTATCCTTGCTTTCAGGGTTTTAAGTTATTTACAATATCTTTTATTTATTTTTCATATTTTTACAACCTTAAAATTGTATAAAACATGCATATTTTAGTTAAGATCACATCAAAAGCATTGTCTATATTTCAACATATGTTGTAATTTTTATCTTTAATTATGAAAAAATAAGCTTATTAAAGCCGAGGTAGAAAACAAAGCAAACAAAACTGCCCATAATCCTTCAATTTTACAACTACTGTAACCACTTGGTATTATTACTTCTAACAGAATTTCTGGTCTTCTCTCGTGTATGTGCAAATACACACAGTTTTTATTTCCAAACATTTTTGTTTGTTTTTGATGGTCTCTTTTTTTTTTCTTACTGCACTAGGAGTAGTGAGAGGAGGCATCCTTGCTGCGGATCTAAGGGAGAAATCAACCAGCTTCTTCTCAGTAAGTATAATGGTTGTAGGTCTTTTATAGATGTTCTCTATTAATTTGAGGAAGTTCCTTTCTATCCCTTGTTTGCTGTTTGCCACAGATTTTGCAAATATTATCTCCATTCTATAATTTGTCTTTATATTTTGCTCTGTCTTTTGTCATATATACATTTTACACTTGTTTCCTGAGATTGTGGTATGTAAGCTCTCAGATAAACTTTGGGCTTCTTTGTATCACTTCCATTCTTTCTTATTTCTTCCTCTATTGTCTAAAACTTCTTAGTGGTTAAGCATGTCTGCTTAGGAATCAGATTTTTCTGGGTTCAACTGCTAGATTTCCACTTATAAGTTGTTTGGGCTTAGGAATCAGATTTTTTTTCTGGGTTCAATTCCTAGATTTTCTCTAACCAGTTGTTTGATCTTTGAAAAATTCTTTTACCTCTCCAAGCCTTAATTCCTCCTCCGAAAAAGTTGGTGTATTATCCTTTCTCAAGGATCTTTGTTATATTTATAACTGCTCAGTAAGTGATTGCTGTTCTCTTTATCTTTTATGGAGAAAGTTACCATGTTTTTCATTCTGGAAAACATTAAGATTATATTATCCACCTGTGTGACATTTCTAGGGAACAAAAGTGACCAGAATGTAGTTTCATCTGTGCAACTGTTTTCTGTGAGCAGAGAAATTTTTTGGTCAAATTGTAGGTCCAGCTATGTTTTATCACTGTTATAAATAAGTGATCTTCTAATTATTAGCCTTCACTTGGACAATAGAAGTGGTGTTAAATTTTTGAAGAGCAACTTGATGGAGACAAATCTTCAGATGTGTATAAACAAATAGACATGTAGAAAATGTGGCTGTAACCTGGGGATTTGATTGCTTACATGCTTTACAGCAATTTTAAGTCAATGCAAAGAATGTTATTAATGAGTTACTAATATACAAAAAAAAACCCTTAGTATACTAGTATTTCATTGCTGACATTCAAATGGAATTTGTAGTACCTGCATACACAGTTGGGTGGAGGGTGGGGGTGGAAGGAGAGGAAGTTGGTGACTTCTGTCTTTCAGTGTCACAGTACTTATTTTGTATTCCTCACAAATTTCATCACAAATAAGGAATGACTTGGCTAGAAGAAGCTAAGGTTCTGCTGGGAAGAGGATTTAACTGGGACGTGCTCGTGGAATTTCTGAATTTGAAGAAGTATGATTGTTGAAAGCATACCAAGTGTTTGGAAAGTAACATTTGCCAACCATGTAAAACCAGCATGAGTCCTGGGCTAGAAATTGAGCTATTTGGGTGTTAGGAGCCCATTATTTCCCTTGCTTTAAATTTCTTAACCTTGCTTGATTTCTCCAGATATTAAAACAATAATCATACTTTCCATTATTTAGCTCACAGAATGTTATAAGAACAGAACAGAAATAAGATTCTTCATTTGTTTTCCATTACTTATAGGCTGAAATCCAAATTCCTTAGCAATATCATAGTGGATGAAAACACAGGTTTTGGAGTCAGACAGATGTTGTGAGCCCAGATTCTGACTGCCATACACAGTCATGCTCTTGGACAGTTTACTTAACATTTCTAAGCTTCAGTTTCCTCATCTATAAAATAGAGATAATAATAATCTTTTTCTCATGGTTGGTGTGAGAATTAAATTGGTGGTGATGTACGCACAAGGCAAGCACAGGGTTTGGTGCTCTTGATGTGTTCAGTAAGTGGTAGCTACTGGAATTCACATCATGATGTATAAGGCCTTTGCTAGTTGGTCTTCCCAACCTCATCTACCATCATTGACCCCCAACATTCACGCCTTGTTTATGCTGAGTACACTTCTCTATTACACACACCCCAATTATATCCTGATTTTTCTCTACCATTAGACAGTGTTTCTTTGGTGTCAGAAATGTTAACCTATTCATAGCTGGATCCTAGTTAGTTAACACAAGACTGTAGCCAGTTTACTCAAGAGAATTGTGTAGAATTAAGCTAATATAGGGATAATCATAAATATATAAGAATTGGTCAGATAAATGTATATTCAGTGCATTCATGATAAAGTGAATGAAAATCTCTGTGTATATAAGGCATCTTAAACCAGTGGTCAATGGGCCAAACTAAGTATATAGGCCTGTTTTATTTGGTCTCTTGATGTTAAAACAAATAAGAGAAATTGACAACTAAAGTTTGAATTTCTGGCTACTCTTGAGAAGGTTGGAGATCTAGCAACTGAACCTCCATTACTGCATAAAAATGGTTGGGATTCTCCAGTTAGATCCACTCTCCACACAAATGATAAGCAGCATAGACATTCTTACAATAGGGACTCTTTGTGCGGCCACCAGCACAAAGCTCAGATTTCAGAAAGGTGATTTGATCAATGCAGAATTGGGAAGAGTAGTGCTCTTTACTCATTTCCATGTCACTAAGGCATAATTGATTTTTACCTGAAGAAGCAGCAGGAACTACCCACACCACATTCCAGTTCACCTAACCAAATATTCTTTAAAATGTTTGATCTTGGTAAAGCCCATATTTCTATTGCTAAGTACAGTTTTGCTATTGAAAATCCTATGCAAAATTGCAATCGTTGATTTTGTTCTGTATGCTTCTGAGAAGCCCTACAGTTTGTGAAGATGAGTTTGAGTTATTTATGGAGATGGTGGCTTGTGTTAGATGAGCCCTGTTCTCCTAAAGCCCTATGACAGAGGCAGGTGGTGTTGGCCATATGGTGACAGGGTCCAGAGGTCCATGTGCACTTGTGCTAGGAGGCTGAGTACAAAGAGTGTTTGACATGGACATCAGGCCAGTTTGCAAGCTGAATATTTTGGGGGGTATACATTCAAATTTTGACCATTTGAGCAATTAAATTAAATGTTTGCAATCTCTTGTGGCTACAAGTACATCTCATAAATTCCCATGCTTAGGGGAATACCCACAATGAACAAAGGGGATTGATTTTGCAATAATCTAGTTAATTTGGTCAGTGAGAGCACCCCAATTGGCTATATCTTATTCTGTTTTGAAACTTGAATTGCACACTTTTTTTGTTTACACTGACTAAATTGAGCATAAAATTGCCAGATCACTTTACTCTAGGTTTTATAGATATAACATAAAACCCAGATTAAGCAGAGATAATATTTCTGTCTGAGCAGAGCGTGGGAATTTGAGGTTCTTATCAGACTTTGAAACCTGTGACTGCTGAATTATACTAGGTTGGCACTTCCAGCTCTTACTTGTCATTGAATTTAGTTTCTTCTGAAGCCCAAAGCAGGCTTTCAAGTGTATATTCTTCAATACATCGATGTGGAAAGAGATGTGGTAGAGTTGCAGCTGGGAAAATATTTAAAAATTTAATCAAGAAAATTTTGTATTATTCAGCTCAAGTACAGGAACAAACATGACTTGTGTGAGATTTGGCAACCTCTCATTCCTCTTTCAAAATGAAGCACGTCCAGAACACCTTCCTGAGGCACGTACTAATTGGCTCTTACTGTGTTATTACCTAATCTTATCCATTCAGGTATCCAAAAGAAGACCCGTTTACAAGTGACTGTATGATTCAGTGGATTAAGTACAAACCCTGAAGTTAATACTCTGATGCTGCTGACTTCCTTGCGAGACTCTTGGGAATATGGGTCAACATGACAATATCTGAGTTTCAATAAGGAACGTGATGATTTTCTTTCCCCATCTCCAACATAAAGATATGATGATGACTTAAAGATAAATTACTGTAAAAGCAAATAATATAATTCAATGAATATGATAAGAAATAATCGGATGGGTACCTAGACAATATGTATGAGAGGACGTAATAACAGAGTGACTCAATTTTCATCCCCACATGACTCAACCATATGCATGATCTTTCTTATATAAGCAATAACTCTGCGCAAACACTCTTTACTTCTTGTCTGACCTATGAAATGGGCTAGATGGATTAACTTAAGCTCCACTGTGTTGGAGATATTGTCTCACGGGTATGTACTTTTAACATCTGGCTAAAATCTTCTATGAGAAACCTCTAAGCAATCTCCCCAATCGAATCCTTGACCCAGTTGAATTTGCTCTCTTGTTGGTGATACCACTTAACTTTTCTCACAGAAGCTGTGACCAGAATTACATCTTTCAGTTTCACTGAAGGCCTGTTCCTAAAGAGAGTGCCTTGAGTGTGGGACACGACTTCTTCATCCTTGTATCCGCTTGTGTAGGGGAGAATGCCTGGTCCCCAGCTGCCTACTCAATGCATGATTATTGAAGGGATGAATCTATCCATCCGCAGTACTGCTTTGGTAACCACTTACTCTAACAAGGTTAAGTTACTTCAATTCAGTAAACCTCAGACTTTTCTATATGTGAAATGAAAATTTGAACTGGCTAGTAAAACAAGTTTCCTTACAGCTCCAAAATTTGACTCTATGATTTTATGTATTGTAAAACTAGGCAAATACACATAACCAAAAGTGTTTGTAGGGCCCTGATATGAATGATGTGGTGAAACAGATTCTGATGTTAACTTGTTGAAGTATTATTGTTTAATTTTTACCTATTGGTAGATTTATTATACTCATTTGTATTTCAGAAAGTATTACAAAATAAGTAGGTGATCAACCACTTAGGGAGCTGCTTATTTATATACATATACCTAAAAGAATGGCCTCTGAAAGATTATAGTAAAAAAAAAAGAACAATGACTTAAATGTTATACTTACAGAAAATAAAATAGTGAAAAGAAATTAAAACAATAAAACATAATTAGGTGTCTTAATGGCCAGCAAACATTATCTGTGACTGTTAGCATATAACTTTTGTCCTAAGTAAAAATTTGTCCCTTTTAGTGGAAATCTTAATGTTTGAAAGTTTTATCATCAAGAGTTTTTGTATATTAAAAGTTCTGGGTAGAGAGAGGTTTCTGTACATATGGAAGTGACTTTCTCTTAAATCCAGGTGACCCCTCTTATAAATTATGACATGACTACCGATTACCTTTTCTTAAAAATGTGAAGGACTAGCCAGGAAGGCGTGTGAGATCTTCCATTTCTTCAAGTCCTTTTAAGGTGCTGAAAGTCTTGTTTCTTCTCTGCCCAGGCCTGACTTGCCTTGGGGAGCT